CTCTGACAAAACTAACCAAAACAGGGGGATACAAATGAAGGATCATTTTGTATCTGTATACTAAAAGTAGGATAGATATATAGCTCTATTCTCTTAATTCAATGAATAGAGCATTTGTTCTAATAGTGTTTGAGACAGGATATCAGGTCTGCATCTTGTACAATGAGTAACCACTAAGACAACAATATGCAATGTATTAATTATTGAAAATGTACTAATAATCAGTTGGAAACTGTCTCATTGCTATTTGTTTCTCAATAAAAATATTTTTTAAAATTCCTGTAAAATTTGTTCTAAAATTTATGTACAAAAACAAGAAATCAGATAGATTAAGCAATTTTTAGAAAGTATAATAAAAAGGGAAGAATCATTTAACCTGGTAGTAAAAAAACTCATATCTAGGTTATAGAAAAATGTTGAAAACTGCATGAAAAAACACAAGCAATCAAACCGAAAATGTGTGGGAATAAACATAAAAGACATTTGATCACAGGATCAACAGTATTTGATGGCAAATAAACACATGAAAAGATCTTCTATATAAACAGGAATCAGGGAATTGTGACCTAGAAATGCCATTCCTGGGTATTTATGTTAGATACAGTCACACAAGCCTGTAATCCCAACACTTTGGGAAGGTGAGTCACAGAATCACAAATTCAAGTCCCACTAATATGACCTTGTTTCACAACATAAAAGGATCTTGGGATGTAGCTCAGTGACAGCGCACCCCTGGGTTTTGATCCTCAGTACTACAAAAAAAGAACAAGCCACCATAATACCTGAATAAAAAAAACTCAATACAATATTCATAGAAGCTTTATGTGTAATAGCCAAAGCAACAGGTGAATGGTTAGATACTATTTTGTAATAAAGAGGACAAATCTATTGATATATGTGACAACTTGAAAAGATTGCATATATTGTATGATGCCATTTATTTAACAATTATTTTAGTTTTGTAGTCCTGGGATGGAATCCAGAGAGTGCTGAGCTACATATACCTAGTCCTTTTCAAAACATTTTTGACACAGGGTCTTGCACACCTAATCCCAGAAAGAATGGTTATCATCAAGAAATCAACCAAAAAAAATGCTGGTGGGGCTGTGGGACAAAGGAAACCCTTTTCCACTACTGGTGGGAGGGTAGACTAGTACAATCACTGTGGCAATCCGTGTGGAGAGTCCTTAAAAAGCTAGGACTAGGGGTCCCATTCAACCCAGCTATTCCCCTTTTGACATCTTCCCAAAATAATAATAAAAAAATCATACCACAACAATGTATGTGCCATGTTTATAACAGCACAATTTGTCACAGCTAAATCTTGTACTCCAATGTCCATCAACTGAGGAATGGATAAAAAAGTTGTGGTATGTTTGTACAACAGAGTTCTATTCAGCCACAGAGAAGTATTTTTTTTTTGGGGGGGGGGCCTCAGGCTGCCTTAAGGGAGGGTCTGCTGTGGCTTGAGCTGGGGATCAAACTGCAGTCCCCCACACCTGACTGGGTTTGCCTATGCAGGTGCTTAAACAACTGAGCTAAGTGGCAAGCCCCTATTCAGCTATAAAGAAGGAAAAACTCAGGTCTTTTAGAGGTAAATGGATGCAACTAGAGACTATACTCATGAGTGAAATAAATCAGGCTCACATGTGTAAACATTCTATTGTCTTCCTAGTAAAAGAAACTGAAATAATAAATAAGATCCAAAATGTAAAATAGACATTGTGAAAGGGAAAGAAACTACTCAAGAGAAAAAAACAACTGGGATGAGGGAAAGAAAAAAAGGAAGGAAAAGGAAAAAAAAGTAGACAGACATGATAGCTAATATAATTATCCTACTAATTTCTATTAGTTCATTTGAGAGAAAAGTTTGTGCTTAAAAAGTTTGTGCTTATGTTGTTTGATCAATTTTGTATACCCATATCTTGAAATCTGAGCAACTGCTTCAAAGATAACAATATGTAATATAATAATCATTGCTAATTTCCTATTTTCTTATTCTCTATCATTGTTTTCTTTCTTTTTAAAGTAAAGTGACAGGGCCAGCGAGATAGCTCAGTGAACTAAGCACCTGCTTAGGCAAGCACAGGGACAGGGTTTGGATCCCAGGCACCACATGCCACACTGGCCCTGTCCCTGGGTGCACTGAGCTGGCCACTGAGACCTGATGTGCAGGCACATCCCTGTAATCCTAGCTATCCCAGAGCTGGGGAGACTGAAACAGGATCACTACAGCTCTGACCTGCACAGTGAGACCCTGTACCAAATACATAAATTAAATTAAATAAATAAATAGTGCCAAAACAAAATCACCGCTTCAAACATGATGTAGACAATACTTTTTTTAATTGGTGTATGTTCATGATATATAATAAATACACTTATCACAGAGACCAAGTAAACAAATATTAAAACTTGATCCTTTTATTTATCTTTCCCCTCTACTCCCTCACAACTCCCTTATCCTCAGTCCCTCTTCCCATCGTTACAAAATCTATCTCCCTGTTTCCTATCATCTTTTATTTTTCTCTTCAAATTCTTCATATTTTGGCTTGCTCAAATAAAAGAATTCATATGATAACATTCTTTGCCTGGTTTATCTAACAGTATTGTTGTCTCAAGGTCCACTAATTTTTCTACAAGTTTATCTTTTTTTTTCTGTGTGGTATGTTTTTAAAAGATGAAAACAATAAAAAAGTACTGTTTAAGCAGTTTGGTAATCAATTGTACATTTCTGTATCTTAATTATACTCAAAATGTCTTTAAGAAGTTCAGGTTTCATAATTTATAAATAAATAATAACCAGGCTGGGAAGACAGCTCGACAGTATAAGCACCTGCCTGGCAAGCACAAGGAGCAGAGTTCGATCCCTGGTACCACATGCCATGCTGGCCCAGGAATCCTGGGTATGCTGTGTGGCACTGAACCCGGATGTGGTGGTACACACCTATAATACCAGCACTGGGGACGCTGAGACAGAAGGATCACTACAAGTCTGAGCTGTATAGTGAGACCCTGTACCAAATAAATAAATAAAAGATCTTTAAAAAAATTTTAAATAAATAATACCCTTTACAAGATTAGCAGAACTTCTCTAGCCTTCAGCTTTGATCTAGTTTATGACTATGATAGAATTAAAAAATGTTTTTCACATACAGGATAGTAACTGTAATAATTTAAAATACCTAAGATATACCTTAGTCTTCTTTTCATTAAAGTACCCTGTCTCCTTTATCCTTTTTTAAGGTCATGCACTTATACTTTTTTGTGTAATATGTGTGTGTGTGTGTGTGTGTGTGTGTGTGTATGTATGTTTCTTTTCCAAAAGCAATTTGATTTTGTCAATTATTCAATGTTAAAAAACAGCAGCTTCAACAACGCACACACAAAGTACCTACAGTGGTTTAAAGAATGAGAGTCAGATTTCCACAATAGAGAAAAATGTCAGGAAAACTTCTGTTAACTTAAAAACACTCAATAGTATATATAAACTCTCCATGATGAATGGAATCATTACATACTATATATATAAACTCTCCATGATGAATGGAATCATTACATACTACAAATATATACTAATAAAATTTTTACAAAACTTAATAGTTTTGTTTTCAAAAATAATGCATCATCAGGGAAACGCAAACTAAAAGCACATGGACATCATTATACACCTACCAAACTAGGTAAAATAATTTTTGTTAGGGCACAAAAACACTTAAGTACTGACAAGGTGGCAGAATAACTAGAACTTCTCATACACTGTTGGGGAAAATCAAAATTAAACAGTCACTTTGGAAAACTAGCAGCTTTCCACAAAGATAGACATAGACTTAACATAAAACTCAACAACTACAAATCTGTATTTTCATTAACCTGAGGGAAACAGTCCATATTTATAGAAAAGTTTGCAAATGAATGTTTAAAGCACCTTTAATTTTAATTTCAAAATTTAGAAACAACTCAAATGTCCCTGAAGTAGAACTGGTTCACCAAACAGTTAATACACTGCTATATGCAACTACTTCAGCAATAAAAAGGAGCAAATTATTGATATGTGCACCAACAAAGACAAATCTCAAAAGCACTTCACTAAGTGAAAAAAGTTACATTCAAATGGCTACAAAGTGCTTACTGACAGCAGCTGCCCACCATGCATGTGGCCCTGAGTTAACTATTCAGTACCTCAGAAATGAGTAACAAAAGTGGACTACAAAATCTGTGACTGCAGGTGCAATTCAGTGGCACAACACATGCTTAGTCTGAGCCCTCACTTTGATCTCCATGACAAAAAATTAAAAATTGAAAAAATAACAAGAACAAACCAAAATGACTCTACAAATGAATTTGGGGCAGAACGCATGTATGTGTATGAGATAAAAAATGGTTTCATATCTTGCCTATCTTTCAGTTGTCAAAACTGTAGAAATATATAGTAAAAAACAAATTTTATACCACATAAATAAAAATTAAATTTTAAAAAATTTATACATGCTGATTTTATGACATTCCTAAATACTAGCACATCAAGAAAAAGGAAAATATAGTTAATATAAATCACCTTGAGATAAGTGTCTGTCAAGGACACATACATAGGAACTAAGAAAATCCAGAACATGTGGTAATTTTTAAGAAAACTTTGAAGGAATAATATATTTCCCATAGAGGTGCTTCAATTTACATTCCCATTAGCACTGCACAAAAATCTGCATTTTCTCCATATCCTATATAATCATTTTATGCCTAATGTTCCATTTTTGGAATACTCATAACAATGGAGCATAGTAAATCTTTTTCTTATTAAAAAATCTATACATGCAACTAGGTGTAGTGGTGCACATTTGTAATTTCAGCACTCTGGGAGCCTGAGTAACTTAGTGGCTTAATAACAACCTGTGTCAAATATAAAATGGGCTGGGAACTGGAGGTCAGTGTGAAGACCTTGAGTTCAACCCCCACTAATGAAAAAATAACCTACAGAGAGAGGAAAAAATGTTTTATACCTCACATTAGTTTCATCATTAAATTCTTCAGCCCACTTCTTCCTTGACTGCGCAGTAGTAGAACCATCTAAACGGTAATAGTCAATGTTTCGGAGCCACTTCCCTTCACCTAAAAATTTAACAAACACACACAAAAGGGATTCGATATATTTTCTAATAGTAGTAGATTTTCTTCCTTGCCAACCACTTAAAAGTGAGCTATACATATTCTACTTGTATAGCAACACACATACTTTTCTTAATCAAGGGATATTTATATTACAAATGAATTCATGACAGATTTCTTTCAAACAGATATTGATAAGCATATATTATTTTAAAAATGTATTTCACCTATAGGAGATTTTTTTTCTTTATGTTTTCTTATTGGACATAGGGATTTTGCTATGTAATTCAGGCTCATCTTCAACTCTATGTATCCGAGGCCAGCTTTGAACTTGTGGCAGTCAGACAACCCTCCTGCCTCAGTTTCCTGAGTGCTTAATATTCAGCATGTAAGACCCCATAGTAACTTATGTCTATATCACAGCACATATTACAGACTGAGAATTTCTTATCTGAATGTTTGGGAACCCAAAGTTTCAGACTTCAGAGGTGTCTGGATTTTGAAATATTTGCACAGACTGCCACTTGAACATTTCTCACCTTGCGGTAAGAAATCCAAAATGCTCCAACATCTGAAAGTGCCGTATCAGTGTTTTAAAGGTTTTAGATTTCACAGCATTTTAGACTCTCAGTTTTCAGATTAGAGATACTCAACCTGTATCCTATGTTCAATCATCTTCTATTGAATGATTTCCTGTAGTAACCCACTGACTATCACTCAGCCCCCAATATCCAATGATTGTGACAGTAGGAGTACTAGCAGCAGTAACACAAAAGATAAACTGAACTTACAGTTTTAAAAAACTGCTTAAGACAATTTATAAAATGAGAATAAACTAGTAGGATATAAAAAAGTGGAAAACCTTACTAGTGTAGTGGTCAGAAGGGTTCATAAAACCACTAGGCTAGCTCAGCATGGTGGCATATGCCTATGATCCCAGCACTGGGAACTCTCAGCCAGAGATATCTCGAGTTTGAGGCTAGCTTGAGCTACACAGTGTGCTTAAGGCCAGCCTGGACTACATTACATAGTGAGACCCTAGCTCAAATCAAATGAAACAAAAACATTAAAATGTTGAAAAACTGTGGTGATAGCATAAATCTGCGGATACGCTAAAATCACTGGATTCTACACTTTTGATGGGAGAATTGTACAGGATGTGAACAATTATATATTAATAAAGCTGTTTGGCTGAGTATGTCAGAGTGTATCTATCTGCTTGGGAAGTCTAGTCCATAGGACTGCAAGTTTGAGACCAGTCTGGTTAAGTTAGTGAGGACCTGTACCAAAATAAAATACCAAATGCTTAGACTATAGCACAGTACCACAAAATTTCTTTAAAAATTTAAAAAGCTATTTAAAAATGCTAATTTATCAGACCCACATGCATAAATATTGTATTGTATCCCTAGTGTAAGAACCTGAAAGAATAAAACCTGAAAAGTACAATAGATATGGTAAAATGAAAAGAAAGTGAACCTAAGGATTAAACAATGAAGATGAGGAAAAGGAAAAAGTATAGGAAAAAAGGGGAAAAAATCATTCAAGTATATATACAGGGTGGCTGAGATGATTATAGTAATAATTACCATTGGTTGTTTTGAAAATAGCAGCTAATATATAGAATTTTCACTTTGACTAACTCTGTATGCTGATATGTGCAATCTAAGCAACTACCTGAAGAATAGCAACAAGGACTCGAATACCTGTCATCTTGGTCTTCTAAATGTATACCATTTCTAATGTCTTATGGATTATTATTATACTCTCTTTAAAATAAACTTACAAAAAAGACTAGAAAATTAAGGTTTATTGAAATTTATTCAATTGTTTGTCCAATCTTGCAAAAGCATATATATTAATCTGAGCAACAGATCTGACAATAAAAATAGGTAATATAACAATCACTGTTAATTTGCTATTCTTGATTTGGAAACCTGTAACGTATGTATTGTATGTTACCCTGTTTCTGTCTTTGCATCTGCTATTTGTTTTTGCTTTTGTTTATACTTTTCAAAACAAAATAAAATTAAATTAAAATTAATTTATTGCTTGGTGTAGTGGTATATGCCTGCAATCCCAGCACTCAGGATCACTGCAAGCTCCAGGCCAGCCCAGGCTACAAAGTAAGACGTTGCCTCAAACTGGAAAGTTGCTTTATCCTACAATTTCAAAAATAAAGACTACTATATTACTACATTAGAGATCTTTGTTAAATACATTTTAGCTGCTCTTCTCACAATACGGTCAACTACATGAGATGACAGATGTGTCAGCAATTCACTATGGAGACCATTTTACTATTTGTATTTCACATCTTGCTGAAAAACTGAAATATATGTGAGAAAAAAAAAGAAATATATGTGAGAAAAATATTTTAAAAAATAAAGACCAGACATAGGTTGATAAAGAATAAAGCATAAGAAAAAAATCTATTAGGGTTCTAAGACACTGGATAGTTTAACTTTGCTGATAAAATTTTTGTACAATGTATTTAAATGAGTATTTAAAAATTATGCTAAACAAAGATTTGTAACTCACCTTTATAAATAAGAGGTTTTTCTTTATCTTCTGTTTTCTCCCTACTGGCCAATTCAAGAAAATCTTCAATCAAGTCAAGAGATATAAGGGACTGGCTAAAAACAAGACTGATAAAAGAGATAGTCATCAATTAGAAGATTTGCCTAGAAAAGACATCTAAAAATTTAATACAATTGTAATAAAAATTCTAACAAGATTTTTTAAAGAAATTAACAAGCTGATTTTTGTAAAATGCATATGGGAATGCCAAGTACAGAGTAGTGAAGATTATTTTAAGAAAAACAAAGTTGGAGGCCTTACTATATGATTTCAATAATTAAGGTTCAATAATCAAGGCAGTTTACTACTGGCCAAAGGACAGGAACTGATCAAAAGATCAGTAAAGTCCAGATATAATCTCATACAATATATATGGCTGGTTGGTTTTTAACAAAAGAATAAAGGCAATGAAAAGGGGATAGTCTCTTCAACAATGGTCTAGGCAAAAATGGACATCTACATGCAAAACAAAGAACTTTGCTAAATTTTACACTTACATAAAATCTGACTCAAAATAGGATCTATGTATGTCTATATCACAGAACATTTAGAAGAACAACAGGAGAAACTCTTGAGAACTTTGGGTTCCATAAAGCTCTTAAACATGACTATGAAAGTATAGTGAAAAAAACTGAGAACCTGGACTTCATGCCAGGTGCGATGGCACTTGCTTATAATCCTAGCACTATGAGAAGTTGAAGCAAGAGAATCGCAAGCTGGAGCCCAGTCTACATAATTTAGCAAGACTATGTCTCAAAACAAAATTCAAAAGGGCTGGACATGTTCTTCATATCAAGGCCCTGGGTTTAATTCTCAATACCAAAAAAAAAAGTGGATTCCATCTTTTAAAAAGATTATAATGTTTTGCTCTACAAAAGATGTTATTTAGAGAATATGAAAATTTAAAAATTCTTCCTACTAAAATTATTCCAATAATTCAACTGCATTCCACCAATATACTGTCTGCAAATTTCTGGTTCTTAGTGTGATTTTTTTTTCTCAGTATTAGGGATTGAACCAACATCACTGCATAAGCTAATTTCCAGGCATTTTTCTATTTTTTTATCTTGAGGTGGGATCTAAGTTGCCAAGGCAGGAGTTGAACTTGCAATTCTCCTGCCTCAGCCTCCCAGACTGCTGGGACCACAGGCATGTACCACCATGCCCAGCTTGCCTATTGGTTTTATGACTCCTTCTTAGGCATACAGATTATTTGCTATCATAAAGCTTTTTTTTTTAAAGTAGACTGTTTTTAAAGTTTATTTATTTATTTTGTGTGTGTGTGTGTATGTGTGTGTGGCCAGCTCAGCCCACCAGGGGGCAGGCTGGCTGGCATGTGGTGCTGGGGGATTGAACCGCGGTCCCTGTGCTTTGCCAAGCTTGTTCCAAGTAGGTGCTTTAG